GAAAGTAAGAAAGAATAGGGCGGTAAGTCGGAAGAAATCGCTTAATGACGTCATTGCCTAATTTGCATAATATATATTTTTTTTTCAACTTTTTTTTAACTTTTTCTTTTCCCCTTGTGGTCCCCTAAGGAGCTTAAAAATCATGGTAAAACATAAACATTTTGAACAACAACAATTAACAATCTAAATTGAACAAAAAAAGGCTACAAAGAATCAATGACAATGTGAGCAAATAATGGTAATCATTGTAAATTTTTTTGCAAACTAATAAGATTTCCCTCCACACACGCAGGCTGTGCTTGATTGGGTCCTCGTCATATTGGTCAAGGCTCTCTATGGCAGGTTCAGCAACTGAGGGAGCTGACTTCAGCGTGATCAACCTGCGCCGTCAATCCCTGCACATGCGAGCGGTTCATTTGCAGTCTGGAAGCTGAGGGTAAACATGCTGTGGCTCTGACTGCAGCGCTGAGAGGGACTCCTGCAGAAGCGGGAGAACGGGGTTGGGACGCGGGAGGTGCCCCACGGCAGACACCAGTAAAAGTCGCTAGATTTGTCGCTAGTCGCTGTTTTGAAAAAGAGTCGCTGCAGGGGTCTGAAAAGTCGCTAAATATAGCGACAAAGTCGCTGAGTTGGCAACACTGGATTTAACTAGAGGTTGTTGCTTTTTGACATTGGACATGATTGGTTTGGATCATTAAAAACTACTTTTCTGGGAACATATTGACTAGGTCCTTCCTGTTGATATAAACATATGCTTGATTGTCTATTGTTTTGTAACTGAGTCACAATGAAAAAGCTAAAACAGAAGAAATGGTCAGGGATGAAATACTATGAATAATATAAAGTAGTGTACTTTGCATTGTTAAATCTTATTCCTACTTGACTTTCAACAATTTACAAGCCAAACAGTCACTTGTTCATTGAATTATATAGTAATTATAAGTAAAATCTTTTAACTGTAAAACCAAATATTTGAAATACAAAATATGCTTTTTGTCTAGTTTTACGTATGTTTGACTCACCTGCAGACACAAAGAAGATCCCTGCACTGAGGATGATGTTGTGGCGTGACTTGTAGAACTCACTGGCAGCTATACACAGGCCTCCCATGAAGAGTAAGATGACACTGAGGATGGGGAAGATGCTGGAGGCTCGCACCGCACCTGGAGACAGAAGGACATAAGTGATCCAAATGCAGGTTAGAAAGAGCTGGTCAGAGCGCTTGACATGGAGTTCAGTTAGAAACGATTGTCGAAAGGGGGACAAAGACGAGAGGAAAATGTGACGCAGTGACAATCAAAGAGAGACAAGCCCATTAGGATCTAATTCAGCACTGGATCCTTATGGGAAAGCACATCCTAATCAACACTCTATCAGGTTGGTGAAAGACTCTATCAACACTGTGAAGAGAGTGTGTATCCCCACAGCGAACTCGTCTTATGTAATCACCCGTTTTACACTCTACCTCTCCTGTTCAGATCACTTCTTTAGCAAAGACAGAGGTAGGTGGTTATTTTCAACTCCAATACCACATTTTTTACTTCAGTTTTGTACCTGCCTTTGTCAGTAACAAGTTTCCATATGAGAATTAATCTTCGCCATTACATTTCTTGCACTTCTTTGGAAGAGGTTTTAATTTCAGTCAGTTTCAATTTTAAAATTTTCTTCTAGTGCAATTTGTCATCGTATTGAATTATAAGACATTTAATAAAATTTACAAGAAAAGATTTCCTAAATTCCATAATTCTATTGACAACTTAGATGAGCATAAATGCCAGTGTGCATTACTTTTTTCACCTTTTTTTTAACTTTGAAAAAGCTTCACACAGCTCATATTCCTCCTTCCTCTTTTATCTAAAGCAGCAATTTGTAATAATGACACCTAGTGAATGAAATCGGAACAAAACACAGAGAACACTCCTACTCTTCCTCTTTGGAGAGGATGAGGAAGGTTGTGAAGAGAAACAAGGACATAGCACAGCTAAATTCAAGATAAAGAATGAAGACCATTAAGCAAAAGAAAGTTGTTGCACTATACCTTTAAAGTACTTCTTATCCAATATAAACTACCAAATGTTGTGCTTTATGTTGACAACTTCTGGAATTCTCCTATGATTGGCTGAGGAACATGCTGCAGTAAAGTATTTATGAATCATACTTCCAGGATTAAAAGAAGAAAAAAGCTACATTGATGATGAAGCAGAATATTTGTTTATAGTGAATATTACTTCCATCCTGGGTGAGAAGGAAGAATAATTGTGGTTTATTTTACAGAAATTCCTTACTTATTGCTCCTTTAAGTTCAGGCAGACGCTCAGGCTCCTTTTCATGCTGCATCACTGCTGCTTACTAGGCTGAAGTGCATGTGTATAGACTGTTGCCATCTAATGTTGGGGAAATGTAGCTCTTATCACAATGGTCCTATAGTATTGGAACATTTCCTACTATAGGACCAAATATCCAATACTTCAAGTACATGCACACTGTATCAGGCAGCTAGCCCATCGTGGTATCAATATCTGTCCTTCCCTAGTTTTATGTACATTCAAGTGAAAAAAGTCACCAGAATAAGTGCTTCAAGTCTTTGGCAAATTTACTGGCCAGATTGCATAGCAGAGCAATTCTGTTGGTGTCCTTGAAACAAAGCAGCATCCTCAAAGCCAATTATCAAGAGGTAAAAACTAGAAGTTCAGTATGATTTCACGTTTGAGGACAAGCCAGGGTCATTGAAGGACTGGGGTGTCAGGTAAAATCAGAGTCATGGCCAGGGCTGACTTGCAGAGCGGAGTATTCAACAGAAACTGTGTGAAAGTGTCCCATACAGTCACCTCCTGTTTAACATGTGCACTTAAACTTTCATCAGGGTGGTTAAATTTTCACCACTTGGCCTCATCTCCCCATGTGTTCGCCTGCCTCAGCAGTTTTTCCAGTTTCTCCCCCAAAGTGCTGACGCTGGGCTGGGCGGTTCATGCTGAACTTGGCTGCCTGTAACTCCACAAGGACCAGCCAGGGGTCCCCGGGGCCCATCTGCCTACCTATACCTGCTGACATTCATCACTGCATTCTTCGCTCTGCTCTTTATCCGCCTGTTCATTTATCCCAAGAACCTTAAAGCTTCATGGTGACTGCAAGGTATGAAGGGAAAGTCACCCTGAGCTCCGAAACGAGCTGACAGGATACAGTTAACAGCTGCTGTGCCAGGGGGAAGCAACAGCTGGCTAGATTCTCACACTGTTGGACTCCCACCTTCAGCATAAAGAATGACCAATGAGACTGAGGTTCTTTTGATGGACTGGCAAAGCAATCCCTTCACTGAAGTCATCCCAGTCTTTGCTCTCTGACATTTTTAACTATGGCAAAGACATCCTATTAAACATATAAACATTCCTCAACTTTATGTGTATTTAGTTGGTGTATTTGGCTTAATATTTTAAATCATCAACTTGAAATCATCACATCAGTCTCTCTGCCTGTTCCAATGTTTAACTAGAACAATGCATCTAGCATAGATTTGCTCTGATTTCCCTCTCCGCCACTTCAAACTACATTTGCCTTCCTTATAAAACATTTTCTTTGTTCCCCCTCATTCCTGTGCATTTTAAAGGTCAAACAGCTGATGATATTTACAGAGATTTGTAAAAATCTGTGCAAGGTTATATATTCCTAACACTATATTAACATAAAAATAATAATTGAACTTTATAGATCTCACATTGGAGAAATGTACCTCTGCATTTAACCCATCCACCTGGGGAGAAGTGGGCTGCCACCGTGAGGCGCCCGGGGAGCAGTGTGGGGTTACGGGTCTTGCTCAGAGACCCAGAGTGGCAGTCTGTGGGAGTGGGGCTTGAACTCAGAACCTCAGAATTCCAAGCTCTATGCCCTAACCAGTAGCCCGCCACTCCCCCCAACAAACAAAAAAACTCCTGCAGGAAAAGAAACTGCAATTAAATCATATTTGAGATAAGTGTTTAACTTATATTGTTCAAAAGCATCCTAAATATCTGCACTCTGGCACAGTTAGTAGCATTGATTCCTTGCAGAAAGAAGGTCCTCAGTTCGATTTTAGACCTAGAATATTTCTGCGTTAAAAGTTTGCAGGTTCTCCCAGTGCATCTTTGGGTTTTCTGCAGGTACTCTGAGCTCCTACCACAGACCAAACTATGACTGTTTGATTGATTGGTGTCTCTAAGATTGCTATTAGGTGTGTTGCATGGATATACATCCCTGTGTCGCTCTCTGATGGACTGACAAACTTTTTACGATGAACCCTGCCTTTCACCCATAGACTGCAAGAGTTCGGCACCAGCCCCATGTGTTCCTGTTTGTACAGTATAAATGGCAGAAGATGAATGGATGGATGTATAAGAATGTTCACAAGTCTTTAGGCCTAAGTCAAGTCTCTAATGATTGAAATTGGCATTCTTTAATCAAATAAACAATGTCTAGGTTACCTCAAACCCTACATTACTGTACATCAGGAATCATATTTTAAACTTCTTTACTCTGATGACTCTGCAGTCATATGTTGGACATGAGGCTAAGTGTGGGGAGCTGGTGGACCACTCTGCCGTATGGTATGAAAGCAATCTTATTCTGAATATGAATAACACAATGGAGGTGACATGTTCTAACCCAGTTAGAGACTGGAAATGCAACAGTCAAGCCGTCTACAATAAGTCACAGACAGACTGTACTTCCATTCTTTAGTATTTGCAGCAAATGATGCAGTAGATCTTCTATAGGTCATTTGACTGTGGAGAGAGAAATCTCTTCTGACATCTTTTTTTTCAAGGTAGCATCATCCGAACAAGACTAAAAAGAGGTGATAAAGAAAGGTTTTGTTTTGGGGGACTTATGACGAGTATCTGATTATTTCAGACCACGGAAGGATTCTTCATAAAATAAAGACAAATGGACAACCCTGAGCAACTTCTTCATCAGACTGTTCAGTAATAACAGACTGCATTCAGTCAAAGATCTTTGCAACAAAGTAAATCCAATTACAGCTATCTTCTTTGATAATAAGTCTTAGAAGGCAATTAGTGGGAGTAACTTCTACCTCTATAATAAGCAGGCATCAAAAAAGTATTTTGAAATATTGATATATTAATCTTCAAAGTGCTCTTTTTTTTAAATGCCTTTCTACTACCACTGGTAAAGTCATTTTTTGACATTATGACATGCTTATGGCTTTCTTTAATCTTGCCTGAATCAGTCTGACCTCTGAGATCCAATCTAGATGATAAAGAAGACTTTAATGGTCCTAATCATCTGTCATTTCAGGTTTGTCTTTTACCTGCCTTTCTCTGTCTACTGCACACGCTCTTCCCTGACAAACGTCCCTCAAATAGTCCATTTTCACCTCAATCTCTCATGTAATTTGCACTCTGTCAAAGGACGAGGTAGTTCATGAGACACAATATCATCTCGCCGTCCCACTTTCCTTTTCTCCTTGCTTGTCCATAGGGGAATTGTGGGGTTTAGAATTACGGTGAAGCCAACTTGATTAAATATTAAGTTGTTCTAAGAGTTGACCCCGCTGCTGTGTCCCGCTCCGAACCCCTTTTAAAATCTCCAAACATCTTTGCCTCCATTCCCAAATGTATTGACACGGTCATTCACAGCACATTACGAGGGAGAGGGCAAGGGGCCTCGCTTTCATCCATCAGCTTCATTTGCCAAGACAAAAGAGGAGAAGAGGGCCAGCTGGATTTATTGATTGTTGACAGTAGGAGGTATAATGGTCCAAGAACTCAAGGTGACACAAAATTGAAGAAATAAACTCATTTGCAGACAAATAGAGAAAATATAAAGTTTTATTTTGCCGTTCAGTTCAGCTGTATAACAGAAAATGCTCCTTATCCTTTTTTTCTTTCTCTCACAGTAATACCTCAACAATATTCTACCGTATATTGCCAAAATAATTTAAAACACTTTTTGTAAACTGTGTAAAATCTCTTCAATTAATCCCCCGTCTTCTAGTTTAGAAGGATAGAAAATATAAACCATACTTTAACTAAAAAAAAAAAAAAGCCCATTTGCTCTTCTCTGAGCATCGGCTGCCAAGAAGTGCTTCTATAATCCAAATGATTCCCCGCATTCACATCCGATGCTCTGAAAAGTGCAGTGACCTTCAGAGGAACCTCAGCATCCACTGCGC